TTCAACGCAGTGAAGCTACAGACGACCACGCTTCAACGCAGTGAAGCTACAGACGAAAACACCTCACAACTGCAGACTGTGCGACTTCGGCCCATGCACGCCGGCAACCCCTGACCCCCGCTGCCACAAATATCCTGGTCACTGAATTTCCTGAGGCAACACCCCCCCCAGCTCAGGGGGAGAGGGGAAGGAGGAGGGGCTGAGAGAGACAGCAGACACAGTCTGCATCTTCTGCCTTGGCTGTCTGCATCGCTGAACTTCACACTGTCATTAAGATTTACAATGACAGAGGTAACATATCCTAAAGGCAAAACTGTTTGTTTCCTTTGCTGATATATCCAATGCCATTCCGGCAGCTTACGCTTCGCTCCCCCATATGTTACATAAGCTTGGCGGCCATATTGAACTCATATACTCATCTAGATCTCCACAGTTAGAAGTCTCTGTGCTTCTACAATTTAATCAAAGCATCAAGTTCATCCACAAAAGCTGTCAGTTTGGAAAAAGACATTTCAGACCACAGGAAGATGATCCAGCCAAGCATGATTCTCCTTTCTGGCCTTTCATTTTTGCATAAAAATAAACAAGCCATTTCAGGTTTTGATTGCTTTATAAAGCCTCTGTCCTAAAATCCTGATGGAAAAAAAACTAATTTGGTTCAACCTGCTGCTGTCTGTGTAATCTCCCAGCCCACCGCTCTTGGTGCTGACCCACTTTACCATAGTCTGTCTGTACTCACCCCAGGCAGCAGAACCAGGCTCCCCGTCCTGGGGGAGAGGGCCCTTCCCCCCCCCCCCCCCCTTCCCTCACCTGGCACGGTCCTGACAGTCCAGCTGCCACAGCTGGCCCGATGGTGCATCCCAAAGCAACGCTCGAAATAGAGCCCGTAATTCCACGTGCAGACAAGATGTCCCGCCTTCAGACGCGCTCAGACAGATTTCTGCCCCCACTGCGGCAAAGTACGAGAATGGAATTATTGGATTATTTCGCTTCATACCACACAGATCCTCGGGACGGCTGATTCTCTACTTCTTTTTTTTCTGTGTTTTATCTCAGTTGCGCTTTAATCAGGGAAGTTTAACCTATCCTGTGACAAGTTAGATGGCCCCATCAAACAGCCAGGACGTCCCCATATTGTGGATTCAGGTGCAGTTGTTTGAATCATGCAGTAGTCGGATCACTCAGCCAGGGACTCCAAATTCCTTTCCCATGCAAAAAAAATCCACAATTGAATCATGTGCCCTACTTGTATGCATATTTGGGTATTCGGTGCTGTGCAAAAGGTCTTAGGCAGTCAAAGACAATCATCTTTAAATGTTCTTCATGTCGGTGTTAAACTATGATATTATGTCCATCAAGCTGTACCAGCGTAAACATGCCAAAACCTCTCCTGAAGTCAAGCCAGGGTTTGCAGCAATAAGCTGGTTGACTTGCCCACTAGCTCAACTCCTATGGCTTATTAATACCTCACTGACTTTTTAAATTAATTTCATTGATTGATTTATTGATTGATTGATTTATTAATTAAGTAAGCTCGTGAAATGTAACATATATTTGGAATGGCTGAGGTGTCCCTGAGGAGAAGTTTGGGAGCTGAACTGGTGTTCATCTAGCCATCCAGCAAGATATCAGTAACTTTGGAGAACAGAAGAAATTCTTGTTAGTTTTTATGCTACTCGTAATCTGCATATGTTGTAAGATTAAATTGTGTTTTTTTGTTCTGAGCAAATATACGCTTACTACCCAGGTAAATAGTTCTAAACATGTCCTATGGCTGCCTTAGACTTCTACACAGTACTACAAATGTTGGTGCAGGTTGAAAGGCAAGTAGCCAAACTCAGGGGGAGCTGATTGCAGAGTGCCATTAACAGATGCTTTTATTGAAAACACCCTAATGCAATTTGCAAAAATAAAAGGCACCGAATTATCAGACTGGACACTTTAGCATGCTGCTCCAAGGACAGTGACCGTGACAAAGGGCAGAGGTTTGCAAGCCTTAATGATGTAGCCTGAAGCTCAAGCTCCTGCTAAAGCCTCCATTGGTGAACAGGTTTATGGGAAGAGGCCAGAGGAACTACAACCAAACAAAAAGCCCCAATGAAAGGTACCATGAAGAGCAGGTGTGCCATTCCCAGAATAGGGTTACTAGGACCCACTCCTGTAGCCAGACCTGGGAACCATCGTGGGGGCTCATAAATGAAAGGAGGGGGGTCAGGTGCAGTTCCATTTGGGTGCCAAGCTTAACCGGACAGACCCAGGATTTGGGGAAGTGGAACATTTCCTCTAATGTGGGAGGCTGAGGACTGTACAGCTGAAGAATTCTCCCGGTATGAGGTTACACGTCGTAACCGAAGAGAACCCAGCCTGGTGAGGTGCCCGAAAGGGAGCCTTCATTGCTCAAAGAGGAATGATCTTCCTGGAGGTGTATGAAGGGAAGGAACGGTAAACACTGTAGTTTCTTCAATTCTGTGCAAGCCACTAGTTTTGAACATAATGAAGATCAAAAGTATGCATGCTAAAAGAGCATGTACAGTTATAGCTGTGTCATCTGGTAGAAGCAACCTCCTTTCCAACCCCCCGCAAACTTTACCCCCCAATTTCAATTTGTCTCTACACGCTCCTTGCGCCATGGGGGTTGGGGTGCTAATTTGGCACCCCAACCCCTTAGGAGATGGTGCCCTAGGCAGCTGCCTACGTCACGTAATGGATTGGCTGGCACTGGTCATCTGACTTGAGGCCGTGTGTTTTGGACACTCAGACAAAGAGAGGGACAGAGCTATCAACCAATGACCGCTTCATATTTCTGGGGAGGAGACCAGAAGGAACAGTCATGGAGCAGTCAGGGTTCGCCAGGAACATCTGGCTGCAGCTTCTGTGCAAGATTAATTCCACTCACACCCGTGGAAAAAAAACTTCTCTGGTATGAGGTTGAGGGACATTGAGTCTGAATAGACCATATTCAAGGCCTCAATCATCGCAGTCGGTGTCTGTCGCGGCACCAACCCTTGGATTGCTCTGGTGGACAACTGTGGTGAGAGAAGCTGTCAAGTTGAAGAAGGAGGCCTTCATGGCATTGCTCGCCCCAGGGTTTCCTGGGACAGCTGAAAAGTGCCAAAAAGCCGGGAAGGCTGCAGCTGCAGAGATGAAAACTTGAGCACGAGAGGAGTGGTCCTAAAGATGTTATGGAAAACCATCCAATGCCTCAGAAGGGGGAGGCGGGACCTTGCTCGGGCTGTGTTCAGCCAGGGTAGGGATGTGCTAGGAATAATATTGGTGTAAAGAACCTGGTGGATATACCCTTGCATCAGAAGGCAATGTTGGAAACAACTGACTACAGCAGATGTAGATTTGGTGGTCAGGGACTTCCATAGTGGAAGGGCTGCAGGAATAGATGACATCTGTCCAGAGATGCTGAAAATACTGGATGTTGTTGGGGTAAAATTGTTGACATGCATCTCTAGTGTTGTTTGGACAGCGGGAGTGGTGGTTCCTATTTTTAAATAGGGGGACCAGAGAGTGTGTTCCAACTATAGGGGATCACGCTTTTTAGCCATTCTTGGAAAGCACATGCCAGAGCACTAGGGAGAACACTCCATATAATAGTCAAACCTTGGATTTAGGAGGAACAAGGCAAATTCCAGCCTGACTGGGGAACAGAGAATCAACTCTTCTCCCTTTCACAATTAGGGTACTTGGAAACGCTATTACAGTCTCCATGTGCTTTGTGGACTTAGACAAGGCATTTAACTATATGCCCTAGGGTATCAGGCCAGCTACTGCGTACTATTCAGTCCCTATATGAATGCAGTAAGTGTTTTGTCCACATCCTTGGCAAAAAATCAATGCCATTTAGAGTGGGTATTGGCTTCTGTTAAGGGTGCATCTTGTCTCCACTCCTGTTTGTGATTTTCAGAGACAGCTGCGGTTTGAAGGACATCCAGTACGAGAGGCTAGAAGTGACGTTTCTGCTATTTGTAGATGATACCATGCACTTGGTCTCATCCAACCAGGACGTCCAAGGCATACTTGAGTGATGCCCAGTGTGAATCAACAGAGAAGAAAATTGGCACCTCCAAAGATTCGAGACTCTTTTGGAAAAGAGTGGATTGTTCCTTTAAGGTGAGAGAGAAGAAGTCTGCCCTTTGTGAAGGCGCAGAGGTTTAAGTACTTCTGGATCTTGTTTACAAATGACGGCACTGAGGAGGTCTGTGGAGATTCAGTGTTAACTAGTGGTTAATATGCCTAACCTGACCAGGATCCTCAATTTACTCATGAGCTGCAGGTAATGACCAGAAGAACATGGCTGCAAGTACAAGGAGTCAAGATGAGCTTTCTCCATAAAATTGCTTGTCTCACTCTCCATGACAGGGCGAGAGGATTGGATCGAGAGGGACCTCAAAAGACATCTGCTGCTCATTTGAATGGAGAGGAATCAGCTGAGGTGGTCTGCGTATCTTATAGGGATGCAACTTGGATCATTCCGAAGGAGCTTTTCCAGACACATCCCACTGGGCAGAGCCTCCAGGGAAGACCCAGAACACACTGAAGGGACTATATCTTTCAGGTGATCTTGAGAATGTCTAGGTATCCCCCAAAACAAGCTAAAGTCTGTGGTCATGGAAAAAGTTCGTCCTGCTGGGCATGATGCCACCACAACCATCAAAAAAACATTTCAATATATCAATATCGACAATGTAGCAGTATTTCAGTTTAAAATTTATTTTTAACAATTTTGAAAACAATGTAAGCAGGTACAAAATGAGATTTAAATATGTAAAGTTTTCATGGAGATTGAGAAAACAGTCCAAGGATTTTGTAAGATGTGATCATTTAATGCATTTTGTCTCTGACATCTGACCAATGGCAAGGTCTCGATCTGTGACGGATGCCAGCCAACACTGATATGTTCACCAATGCATGGCGCGTCTCCAATAGCAATGAAGAATGAACCACATTTTAGTCCACATAGGCCGCTGTTGTGCTAATCACATGAAGAGTTATGAAAAAGTGACTTCAGTATGGAAAAATGCTTGTTAGCAACTGTAAGAACTGGCACAGCAGTCTTTCACCCCACTGGAGGAATTTTAGTCTACTTTTCTTCGCATAACTTCACTCCAGACACACTGGTAGGTTCTTAAGAATGACCAGCCCATTTTCCACCTTTTCAGACATGCGGATATGGATTTGCATTTGTGTTTTGTATCATTGTACGTAACAAAGCAGCCATCCGGGTCCCAAGGCAACAAAGCACCCTGACACCATCACAGTACTGCCGCTGCGTTTGACATCTGGTACGATGTTAATTCCGTGAAATTCTATATTTGCTTTGTGCCACACATAATGGAACCCTTGTTGTCCAAAAAGGTCCACCTTTGACTCGTCTGTTTAAATCATATCATCCCTAAGGGATCGGGAATCATCCAGCTACTTTTTTCACTAATGTGATACGTGCTTTGGGGTGTAACTTGGTAGCGGTGGTTCCCGGAGTGATATCCTGCCGTGAATCCCATTTTTCTCCACTCTGTTCCATTTTGTGGAGGCAGGAACACTGATCTTAGCTGAGACTGGAGAGGTCTGCACTCCCTCGGATATTATTCTGGAATCTTTTGAGATTACTTGATACACTGTCACTGTACCCTTGGAGAAAATTTGGCAGCCTGACCACTCCTGGGAAGATTCACCACTGTTACAAGTGCTCTCCATTTAGAGATAATGACTCTCTGTATGGTCCAGTGGAGCCCCAGAGCCTTAGAAATCGCTTTGTAACCCTTTGGTGCATATAGTTCAACACCTTTTTTTCTAATCTCTTTTGGGGACTTCCTTTGATCACGGTATGCTGTGCTTGTGGAAAGTTTGTGGTGACTCACTCTGGTAGGAAGATTCAAAATTAATGAGGTTTAGATTCAATTGTGCTGGCTGCAATCAGGTCTGGCTGTGTCCAATCAGCTGAATCTAATTACCAATTAAATTTGGTTAATTGTATCAATGAGCAATTACTTTTTCACATGGGTGATGGATAACTTGCTTCCTTAAATAAATAAAATATTTTTAAATGCGTAATGTGTTTACTCGGTTTCTCTCTGTATAATATTACATTTTATCTGAAGATGTGAAACCAGTCAGTGTGACAAATATGCAATAACAGAGGAATTGAGGAAGGGTGCAAATACTTTTTCTTGCCACCAAATCTTTCCTAATAGGGTAACAGCCTTCACAGGACTTTACTTAAATGGCCCGGAAACACTAGTTCTCTGTTCAGCAATATAAGGGGATTATGGACCATGACAGGAGAGATAAAGAGGTACATATGTTAAAAATGAAGGAACAGTTGTAGAGACAGAAATGATGTACAGCAGAGGTGAAAATATCAGGTCCAGAAAGTAAAAATCCAGACCATGATTTAGTTTCAACCAACCAGTTGAGTATAAAGAGTCAGCGTCACACAATACTGAACTAGTTGGTATAAGCAAAATCGTGGTCTGGATTTTAACTTTCTGGACCTGATATTTGCTGAGGCCATAACCATACAACAAAGAGTGGTGCAGACCACTGCTGCAACAATGTTGCAGAATGACACTCACTTATTCCACTATGGCAGAACCTTGGTGCAGTCCTCAAAATCAATTTTTCAGATTTTTGGTGACCTCTCCTTACACAAAGACAGCTCCTCCTCTTTGCATGAGCTTCAGGTGAAAGTAGAGAGGGAGCCAGTACAAGCTCCCAGCTAACAGGGAACGTTCCCAGAACATTAGCCCTTGTTACGTGAAGGTCTTCCCAAAGCTTGCAGAGAACGTTCTTATTGTAACCTTAATGGAATGTTGTTTCCACTTTTTATATTTTAACAGGTTCTGCCAACATCAGCCCCATAAAATGATTACCTACCCTTTAATGCAATTAATGTTGAAAAATGTTTTATAATAAAATACTATATTATAGAAGTGGTATTAGTGTACACTATGAATGCACCATCCAGACTTGTACCCACGATCGTTGTCATGTAAAGCGACAGCGTTTCCTGCTTTTCTACCATGTCCTTCATTTGTTTTTATATTATTACTGATACTTGTACTAGTGGTTATAGTAGTGGGATAACATTCTGGGAGCATCCGGAAAACTAGACACTTTGAACATTTCCATGCCGTCATCGTCAGGTTCGGTAAACGTTCCCAGAATGAAAAATTGTCAGCAGGACTGATAGGACATCAACAGTCCAAGTCATGTGGAGCCATTAAATGAAGCCTTTGTTTTCAGGGATCTTTGCAGCTACACATACAGTGTTGGTACAGATTCAATTACAGGGTTGGCCAATGAATGACAAATGGAGAAAGACGTTCTCACAGTCATGTTCCTGCTCTAGTTTCCTGCCCCGCACATGTACGGCGCTGAAAGGCTCCTCCCCCCCCCCCATTAAAAGCGATGTATGATCTTCCAGGGGAATCAAACAACTTCACACTGGAAACAAAGTGCATACAGCTGCAGGGGGGGGGGGATGACGGAGTGAAGCACCTTGGAGAGGGGGCTCCCTGCATTAATCTGTCACATGCACATAAACACACAAACGCATGTTGGTGTATCTATCTAAATAGGGACCTTCCATTGTTGGGATTAGGGCTTTTCCCATAGAAATGAATGGAGGGTCCCCACAAAGATATGAATACAAACATAGATCACGTCTGGGGACCAAAATGTCCCCCAAAGTATGATGAAAGATGAAACGTCCTTACTTTTGGGGATATTTTTCATGCCGCCATTTGGATAACCTTTTTATCATATTGTGGGAACTTTTATGTATTTTGTGTACATAATCCACAACACCCACCCACACACACCCACACACACACGCATATATGCACAGACAAACACACAAGCACACATACATACCATCCTCTCCTTACACACCCAGACTAAGTACAAAAGCCCTTTGCACCACATGCATAAGACCCCCTTCCTTCATTCCCTCTTCACTCAAAACAGGGGGGGTGGGGATTCAGTGGGGTAAATGGCAAAAAGGCAATAGGAAAATCATTTAAAATGAAGCGATCACTATCATCACCAGAGGAACAGAAAGACAGCAGGGGCGGGGGGGGGAGAAAATGTTTCTAAATTGCAATTTCAAAATGGAGCCCTGCTCACTGATCTCTCTCTCCCAGCACAGCTGCTCTCTCTCTCCTATCCTCACAGAAAGGATATTAGAAAGACGGGTATGAATTCCATCATGGGCATTCAAAGGGCATTGTGGGGGCTGGAGATAAGACCAGAAATATTTGGATCTGTATGTGTGTGTGTATGTATGTGTGTGTGTGTGTGTGTGTGTGTGTGTGTGTGTGTGTGTGTGTGTGTGTG